AATATTTTATTAAGAAATTAACACTTTTTTTTTAACTTCGCAGGCAAATTTGCCTGCTCTACAGTCTAAGGGATAAACTCTATTATTTGTAGTTGGAGTTTCCCTTTGCAGTTCTGGTTTGTATACTGGTATTTGGTTAACCGCTTGTGACTTTTCTCTTTGACAATCCCTTTTCGGGTATGGAATACAGGAGTTTGAACTTGCACTTTTCTTGATTATTATCTTGGTTAACCTTTTGAATGGACGCTTGAATAGAAGAAGTTACATCCTTCTTATCTTGTAATGGTTTACATGGATTTTTTCGCTTAAGATGCTCATAAAGATTTTGGGGCGTTAAGCATTTATGCCACAACGTTTACAGATTGTATCTTTTTTATCACTTCTTGTTTTTCTAATCATGATGTTAGCTCTAACTGTCACGCTATTACTTGCTTATATAATTTTTCTTTAATTATTTATTTCTTATGTATCTATCACTTTTCGATCATAGAAAACCTACCAAAGATAGCTTTCCGAAGCAGTTCTAGCTATTGCAAAACTGAAGCATTAACTAATTATTAATCTTTTCGAATCTAGTAATAAAAAGTAGGATGATTGGTGAATATTCTTGCCCATTTCTCTGCAATACTGGAAAGGCTTGTGGGAATGCTAGTACTAGGTCTGAAGGATGTCGATTCTATTGGAAGGCTAAAAAACGTATACCTTATTCTGATTGTGGAAAGCTTACAGCCTCTACTTGTGGACGATGACTACTACATGTTAGAGGTTATTATGTTACCCGATACTATGATAGACTTTGACGAGAAAGAACTTATGTTAGCCAATTCTATGATAGACTTCGATCAGAGATACAAGAAAGAAGTTATGAGGAAATAATGGTTACCTATAAAAATACGCTTACAAATCTTAATATTTCTCTTTGTAGGGAATGCCTCATTCAAATAAAATTAGAAGAGGGAGATTATTGCGTTAGTTGCCAACCAGAATAAATGAAAAGATTATTTCGGCTAACTTAAATTTTAGGCACAATATACAATAGGCATTTGCTAAATTTTCGTTAGACTTGCTTTTTATATTTTTTCATTAAACTTTTATGATTAATATGGTATTTGATGAGCTAGTCTACGCTGAACCCGTTCTTAACTAAGGAAAAGTTAGGACAATTCTACGGATTTTGCAGGGT